GATGGAGCCATTTTGATGCAGTGAGATCATCACCGTCGGAAGACAAATATCAAGGATGAGTTGATGCCAGGCCAGAGGATTTCCAATGAAAATGATATTTCACCCACACAAAATTTTCGTGATTCTGAGGCGTCCGGTAATTCTTAGTTACTTCAGTGTTTTATCACCACACAAGTTAAAGAATCTGAATTTCGCACGCTTTCCAAGAGATATTTCATCTTTCAAGTAAGACCCCGAATCTGAAGGGATGTGAGGTACACGGCGCATCCGAGAAAGGGTCTAGTTGTTGCGCGCGCTTCAACTACGGCTCCTTGGACAAACAACCTCAATTCAGGAACAATCGAGAGAATTCTGAAAGTGTCCGTGCGCATTTACAGGGAGGTGTACACCATTCAACATTGCGTTAACGGACTCTTCAGGGTTAAATTTATAAACATGTAACCTTTAAAGTTGAGAAACGCTAATCAATCACTTTTCTTAGAAAGAGAAAAGCAAGTGATTTCAAATCTGCTCTTACTTTAGTACATAATCGCCCTTAAAAGGATATACAGCCGTTGAAATAGTGCCAATGTATTTTTTTTTTGGGGTGTAGCGAAAAAGTACCTTTCGGCGGTACTCGTGCAAAAATCCTCAACGTAGCCGTTTTTTTAATACTGGACGTTTGGAGCAGTTCTAGTAAGCATTTGATAGAGCAAATCTTCTAGTTTATGATGGCGTATTTACTTTTCGGATTGGATGAGTTTGAACGGAGTTATGGCTTTAGGAAGTAAAAAAACTCGCACTCATCACAAATTTTCCTCGTTAATTTTGCAAAATCCTCAACGTGGCCATTTTTTGAATACTGGACGTATAGAGCTGCTTTAGCAACGGTTTGGTAGAGAAAATCTTCTAGTTTTGTCTGCCATATTAACTTTTCGAATTTGACGAAAATGAAGCAAGTTGTTGCTTCGGAAAGTGTAAAAACTCGTGCTCATCTCGAATTTTCCTCGTTAATTGACCTAAATTTGTTATTTCTTATAACTTTTTGTAATTTCAATACTGATTAGAAAAAAGCTCTTCACAAAACTTCCAAATCTGCTTTCAGATTGAAAATTCGTCATATTTGAAGAAAGTTATAATCATTTGAATATTTGTTCAAATTTCAATAGTAAATAAGCTGCTCCACGGTCAACGCCAAAGTCCAGTCAACACACAGCTGGCGAAGGCTTTTACAAGGCTTCCTTTGAGCGAAAGGGGACGTGTAAATTGAGAACCATAATCTGTGTAGTACTAGAATTTGGTAAGTCTTGTCACCTGTATCACCTGTCGTCCCGTTGATCATCGAATTGCTCGAGCGGGCGCCAGCAACGTCTCCATTCGTCCCTGTCGCGTGCAAGAGTTGTCCAGTGGACCCTCCTCGCTCGAGGGACACGATGTCCTTCATTCCTTTCGTTCAGAGCTTTCGTGAAGAAGTCTGACCATCGGGCCGGCGGTCGTCCAGGTGTTCGTTTGACGTCCCGAGGGATCCAGTCGGTAACCGCTCTGGTCCAACGGTCATCGCAAAATCGCATGACGTGTCCGGCCCACCTTATCTTCGATTCCTTGGCGAAAACGGCAGCGTCCCTGATCTTGTCGATGAATAATAAACGAAAGATGTTGTCATGGTATGCCATTTTTAGTGACTAGTTTGTCGTTTTCTGGTCTGTTTCTCGTTTGCTCGTTTGGTAGGACTCATCAATAATGATTATTCTTTGACTTTTTCACTTTTGTACTTCTTTCGTATAACTGTACGGCGGAGGTGGGGGCGGGCGTGGCGTCATTTTCCTAAATTTTTCCGCGCGACCTCGTCTTGACCCTGCCTCCTCACTCAAGAGATAGTTTGCAGTGCTCTGCCCTCCTCTTCGTGATTTGCAGCCGCGCCAGGCGCCGCTCTTTAATCGTCTGTGCTCCATAGCCGAAAGCTCAAGTAGTCCGTAAACCGGGAGGGTGACGCGTTCCCTGGAGAAGGATAGCTTCCGACTCCTACGATAGCATACGGCCGCACGCTCGACCCCGCGATTGTCCGCGACTCGCTGCGTTCTCAAAAGATGGCGACGGACGACGTGCAACATTTTGGGCTTCAAACTTTTCAGGTGCCCCCCCCAAGAGGCCCATCGCGCGGCAAAGGAAGAGACGCAGATGTGGCAAAGGACGGGTCGCAGCGCGTGCTGTGATATGAGACGTAGTATGGTATACTCTGTTTAACCTGACGCCTAACCGCTACAGTATGCGCTGCGACTCGTCCTTTGCCACGTCTGTGTCTCTCCTTTGCCGCGCGATGGGCCTCTTGGGGTACACCCAAACTTTTCGCACCCTTCTTTATAAAAAAAATTTCGATAGAAATCCTTAGCGGAACGAGAACCGAGTTTCTGAAAGTCGGTAAGCACTATGGAACTATAAGTATTTGGAACGTTAATTATTACAGGAATTGCTGCAAGAAGTAGGTGAATACGGGGAATCCATTGATCATTCTCTTCATGACGCTTATGCAGATGAAGCAGAGCAAGAAAGGCATGGGGATGATCCTTATGGTGGTAGCTCTCGATTCTGTATCAATATGTGGAGTTCAAGAGGTTTGTATTAGGGGAATCATTGCTTTGTCTATGAATTTTTTATTCTGTCCATTGTTTTCTTTAGCGTCTTTGACCATTTTTTTAAAGAAGACGATCTCCTTCATTAATTCCGGAAATGGCGTGTTTGTGATGTCAGCACTTCAAATAACAACAGTGGAGAGTGTCACTATATTATCGTACTTGAGGAAGACCGGGTGTGGTCAACTAGACAGTAAGCGGACCTTTTCACATTTCGTACCGCGAAACATTTCGCTGCTGGAACTCCAGGTCCACTCATTATCGGTGGTGGATCTAAGGTTCCCGCAGCAAAATGTTTCGCGTTGCGAAATGTAAAAAAGACGCTTCCTATCCTAGTAAAGCACATTCGGTTATAACGTGTCCCAGTGGTGACCACCCTTTCACGAATCTCAATCGACCTCGCCACCACCTTCATTCAGGAGACTTTCCGATAGAAGCTCCTCATTAAAACTCTTCTCTCTTTCAAACTACCTCCTGTATGTGTTCTATTAGTATTTGTTTTGAGACCAGTTGACACCCAACATGCTAACATTTGTTCGGTATTCTACTCATCTAAGCAGTTAAGTTGATCAGTTCAGAGCGAAGGTCATGTGATTTACTGCTTTGTCCCTTTTCCTTCCAGAACGACCGTTGGGAGGGGAGGTGTGGAAGACGGGCGAGGAGAAAAGTTTTAATGAAGCCGGGGACCAAAAAAAAAGTACACCAATTTTCATTATTTCGCTCCTGGTCCCTAACTTTCGTCAAAAGCATCGAAAATCTTCGAATGCAATCCCTTTTTAGGAGCCCCTTTTGCTTTTTTTCCTAGACGTAATAACTTCGTATAGCCCCAAAAACACCCTTTATTCCTATACATACAACGAAGCCTCTTGAATAGTGCCAGCACAGGCAAGACGTCTCACCTCTAAAACCATGTAGTTAAGGTATGTGGTTTTCGTGATATGCTAGATCATATAGAATTACTGATCGCAGCATGATCCGCAATCGAAACTCATGTATTGAACCAACCCCCCCCTGGATGCTTTCTAAATTCTGTTTGACTCACCCTTAATCTATTCTGTGATGGTTTTGTACCCGTTAGCTTGAGGTTCCTCTTGTCGAGGCGGTCATGGCAAAAATATTCGATGGAACGCTTCTCTTTAGAGAGCAAAGTTCGGCTTATGACCATTCAGTCAGCTGAAGGGGGTTGGGTGGGGGATAAGTGCAGGGAACAATACTGACACCGTAACCTCTCGGCGTTGCACTGAAGCACGGAATGCCGCAAGTTGGCGATTTTCCATGGGTATTTCCTGTGTATTCCACGATTTTTTTTTTCTTAATTCTTCGCTGGCGGTCAACTTCCCACCCCTACTTGAAAATTTGAGTGGCAAATATGTCTTGATCAATTTAATCCTGAATCTTGCCTTAAGTCCCCTTATTTTACTGAATATTATTTCTGGTGGGTCGGGCTAGTCACCTGGTTATCCCAGCATCGAGGTGACTGCAAAGCAGGCTTTTCGGAGGTGTCATCTAGACTATGCTAGAAAAATCGTCTCAACTCATCCATCTCCCTTTCTCAGTCCGTACAGCTATAAGTGTAGTTCTCTTCTTCTAGAAATAGAAGTTGCTTCGTTAAGTGAAGACAATCAAATTTGCGCCGACAAAGAAGGGATCCAAATAATATAATCTCAGTACCCCCATGCGAGGGCTCGATGGCGATCTCTTTGTTGTAAAATGGTAAAATACTTTGGGTCTCCAAGCTGTGCTATTTTTCAGGACTGGGACATATCCTGCCAACATAGGCGCTCGCCATGATCGAAGTGCACTGAGCCATTGGCGGTAAGTTTTTCCACATTCTTCAGAGTCCGAAACTGGATAGGTCTATCCCGCTCCATTCTCTGAAAACGTATGCATGTGAGCAAGCATGATTTTTTGATTTAGGTTATCGAAATGAGCATCTAAATGCATCTTACAGAATGAGGGACGCGGACAAGCCGAAACTACTATTTACAGGGCGGTACGAAATTATAACAATCTGGGTTGGCTGATGTCTGATCAGACTGCGCATTGAGTACGTCACAGTGCGCGTTGATGCGGAGTGTTCGCCTCTGCAAGCATACGGATCAATAGGTATTCATGCAGCGCGATGTTCAGTACTTTGCGATTGGAGCGATTGATGCACCAATTGCAGGAGCGACGGGAGATTTACACGCCGACCACCGATAATTCGGCGCCATCAGCTCGTAAATCTCCCGTCGCTCGCAGCTCCCTGCCACAACGGCCAAGGAGGCACATCACGGCCCGAGCGATGGATCGCTTGAGCGATCCGTCGCTCCAAAGTGCGAGCGACGGGAGATTTACCCGAGCGGCGCCGTGTGTATCGGTGGTCGGCGGTGTAAATCTCCCGTCGCTCCTGCAATTGGTGCACAATCGCTCCAATCGCAAAGTCTGACATCGGCCAGTCACGACTGAGATCGCGATTACAATCGTGAAGTCAGACTCAGAATCTGAATAGCATCCGTATTTAGGTGTAGTGGAGCGAGAACATTCACGATATCCTTATCCAAGGAATTTCAGTGCAAGATGTCTCCGATTTGTGCTTGCTGATGACAACGAGACTTTACTTTACTACAACCCGTCCAGCAGCGTGAATGATCAGCCAAAAGTAGTTGTGAAGAGAGGCGAAGTGCGCCGCGTGATAGAACGGATCCATGATTTGATAGGACATCTTGGACAGAAAAGAACGTGAGTGTTTCTTTCAAGGCTGGCTAGAACTGCTGGATCCATTTTCCAGTCTCCAAACACCTTGTCTTGAGGTGGCCCTTTCTACTCAGCTCGAAAGTGGGGCTCATTCATTCCTTTCCTGCTCAGATTTGAAAATGGATGAGTCCTCCAATTTCAGGCAGATAGTTGTGCTAAAAAAGCTTCATTGGCGATCTGTTCGACAGGATGTGAAGACGTTTATCAACAGTTGTGCCTTTTGTAATCAGAAGAAACTGGAGGGAAAGAAAATATTGAAGGCTCCTGTTGACGTAACCAGTGAGTTTCGACGAAAACAGCCTTTCCATACAGTGAAAAGTTTGTTAATTTAGGTGACAACTTCGACTTAAATGTCGAAGTAAGAAATAAGGCATTACATTCAAACGAAATGTATGATCGACTGACCTTCAGTCTTATAGGGTAAGTACTGCAAAAATTCTTACAAAATTTCTAGCTGTAATTCAAATATAATATTGCTCAATAGGTAAATCTTTGGATAATGAAAAAAATTAAAACTTCGTGGAGAATACTGTGTCATGAACAAAACTGTGCCACCTGTTTGTATGGGTGTTGTCAGCTCATTTCCTCTGATCACATTGAGGTCATATTTTTGCTACGTTGTGCTTAATTCATCTGCTCAAGCGCCGCGAACAATTTGCTTTTTTCACTTGCTTTTGTTTTTGCTGATATTACTAGGTTTGTCGGGTTACAAGGCTTCTGTCAACCAAAGGGTGAGAGCGTAGCTGGAAAAGCACACACTTTGTGTCTTATTGGGACTAAGCCTTTTGAAGGAGATAAAGAAAGAGGAGATGCTGTGATAGTGTGCACTTGTGAGAGCTCCCAGACATCACTACAAAACGCTGAACCGCCAAGCCTCACGATTGACAGAAGTCCTGAGACCATATGATCGAGGAAAAGCGAGCAGCGGTCTATACTACAGTAGCTAAAGAACCAGAACTAGAGTCATAATTGAGTTCAGACTAACCGAAGTTGGGCGAGCAAATCGACCTCGCAACTCATTCGCAGTCTCTTTGAAAGTGTATGTTGTCATCCTTGTAACTGCCGCTGCTCGAACTTCGTGTTCATTATACCTAAAAGAAATAACAAACCTGTAATATCAGTAAAAACAAAAGCAAGTGAAAAAAGCAAATTGTTTGCGGCGCTTGAGCAGACGAAT